CGTGAGGAGTAGGAGTGGGTAAGTTAGATTAGAATAAAACATTTTCCAACCTAAGTATCTGACAAGGACCATGAGTTTTGCTGCAGTAATCGTGTGAGCTATGCTTTAATAATTGGCCACTCATTTGCTTAAACAGGGCTGCTGAAGCCAGAGTGAGAGGGACACCAACACGAATAGCAAAAAAGAGGCCTTCGCCCCCACATCAAAGGTCCCAGCAAGAAGGAAGAACTCGGTGTGCATCACATGGACGGACATCACAGCTTGTTCAGCCATCCGTCATAACGCATCAAGCATCAAATCTCTCTTCCCGATCAAGTGTGACTAGTGAACATAGAGTATCTCCTAAAGGAGGGAAACTACCGCTACATGTAGAACGGTCCGCATCACACTTAGATGCCCCCATGTCACATTCACATCACTACTCCAAACAATCGCCACATATCAGGTCTCCTTCTCAGGATAGTAAGTCAGGTCATCACACAGGCAGTACCAGGTGTTCAGTCCACCCTCGTAGCAGCAGTGCATCACAGCTGGAAACCAGATCTGGATCACACCATCTGTCTCATTCATCCAGTCATTTGCCTGGGTCTCATCATATGACCAGGAGTGCATCCCATCAATCAGGAAAGACAAGCTCACGAGCTTCAGGCATCAGTGGTACAAGAAGCACTTGTACTGCAAGAAGTACGTCAATGTCCAACAGTCCACGACGAGGTAAAGTTTATGAGGAATGTGGCTCTTCTCTTAGCTCTCTTGACACCAAAGTTTTGTAATTTATTTATATTTTTTTCCTTTATTTCATTAACTGGTTTATATGTCACAAATCTGTACAAACATCCATTCTTTTTATTTTATTAGTCACTATAAATGCAGAATTTTATTTAAACCTGTTTTTGGTTGTTATAAGATTATATCATTGTCATCATCACATCATGATCTCATGTGTATGATGATTATCATCACAGTTGTAAGATGCTAGGCAGGAAGAATCTATTACAGAATGACTGATATTAAATGAATGTTTCTTTAAGATGGATCTGTTCTTTTGCTGTCTTTTTACTGGTTTTCAAAAGGAAAAGGGACTGTATTCCAGCTTCCTATCCTGAAGTTTTTGTTCTGAGTAAACAAGTTTCAAAAGATTGGTTATCAGGAGGTTCTGTTTCTCATTTATTAAAGATCTGCTCTCAATTATTTTTCCTCTGTTTATCTGGGGCACATTAGGACTTAGGTATTAGTTTCTTTGCTTTCTCTTTATTTGTTAAAAGATGTTATATATATTTTTTATATGTACTGCATGTATTATAATTTTTTGAAATGTATTGCATGTATTATATTTTTCTACTGGTTTACTTGGTTTTCATTTATATATACCTTTCAAAAGCGTTACACTTATTTATTGCACACTGGATTAAACCAGCCTGAATCATGATTTTATTGTTTTTGTTTACACATTTTGCCTCTTTTGCTTCTTATCTCTGTATTTGGTTGACAATATGTCGGTGACCAAATTTTTCTCTGTTGCCAATTTTATTAATGGTAAGATCTTTATGATAAAGTTAAAACTAATGTAATCAGAATGGGAATTTACAATTAGGATTTTATCAGCAGGGAATAAATGTATTAAGTACGCATTCAAGCAGGCTATTTATTACAGAATTATGTTTTAAAAGATGAGTCATAGAGTAGTATTTTGTTTTTTTCTTAGTTACATGTTGCATGTAATTATTTTGGATAAAGGAAAATCTTGTATAAAACTGCATTGTTCATTTCTTACAAAACATAATGTACCACCATTCCCTTGTTTTCTTAAATATTATTTTCGTACAATTATATCATCCCATTTAGAAATAATTGAGTTCTATTAGATTATAGTATTATGTTTGCATTATTGTTCATATTCTTAAACTTCCAAGAAAATGCATGATAAATTGTTTCACCCATTTGGAAAATGTGAATCAGTATTTTAGTGATTGGTAAAAGGCAAGTAATTCAAAACACTTTCCATAATATGGTTCAGAGTACCAGCAAGGACCTACCCCATCTTGGCCAGCTGCACGGGGCGCCATATCCAGGGTAAAAAAATTCATATGTGTATGGAAAATAGATTTTATATTAAAGTGTGGACGGTATTTGTGCACTTTATGATATAAATGCATTTATAAAGGAAATTTGTGACATTCACATTTTTGCAGCCAAGGATTTTACACACTTCTGATGCATATGTAATTCTTTGGGTCACAGCTCACTACACATTTGCTTTGCCCGTTATGTAGATAAATTAACATGTTATTAATCTTTAGAGTGCTTACTAAGGCATAAGTACTGTAAAAATATTGCAAGGTACAAAGCACTGTAGTTGAATTGCTGACCACTGTAAATATGTTTCCTACACTTTGGGTTAAAATGTAATGCAGACATGTGGAAAATGCTGGCAGACAGGTAGACAATAAGGCATGCAAGCAAACTGACTGAGAGTTGACAAGCAAGCAAAACTCAAAAT